CTTGAGTGGCTTATGTGCTGTATGTAGTATTTTGGGGAACTCACTAAGCATTTATGCTTACCGTGTTATGTGATATGTGTTTCAGGTACCAGCGAGGATCGCGGGAAGGCACCGGCATGATTTGTACACACTGGCAGAGGATTATGTTTTGAGATTCTGGGATATGTCTTATTATGATGACATTTGATACATGAGATTTTGAGAATATTATATGAGTTTTTATTATGCGGAAAAATGAAAAATTGTTTTTAAAAATTACGTCGTTACAACTTAACAGATTAAGTCCTTAATAAGAAAAATGACTTCTAGCTATAACCATGACATAGCCAATAGGTCACCACGTCATGGTGGGATTCAGCATCACGACTACTTTTTCTGGAAATGCCCACGACGTAGCCAAGAGGTCACCACGTCATGGTGGCTGTTGACTAAGTTTTTTGTTGACTTTTTTTACCGTTGACTTTTTACCAGTTTGACCTTGGGTCAAACTTGAAGGATTTTGGTTGTTTGATGAGGATTTGTTCTATGTTTGGTGTTAGTCGGTTCGCGGTTCTGATCAGTGCAAGGAGCGAGAGCGTTGTAGTGCTTCTCTGGTTCTTTAGTTCAGGTGAGTATTCACACTATGACATGTATGACATTATATATCATTGTATGTTATTATAGAAGTACTGTTATAGTACGAGCTTGCTACTTGATTTGGATAATTCCTTGATATGTATGTGCAGTATGGGACACTAGGTGTCATGTTATGCTAGTTTGTCTTTGTGACTCCTGTATGAAAGATTGTGATTATATCACAACACCTCTTTGAAAGACTGTGGTTGAATCACAACACATGTATGAAAGATTGTGGTTGGACCATAGCACATGTACGAAAGACTGTGGTTGGATCACAGCACATGTATGAAAGAATGTGATCGAATCACAACACTTGCATAGTTTTGAGTGGATAGGATAATGTTAGTTATGGATGATAATTGAAATGGATATAATTAGGGTCATATGTAGTCCAAGTTAGATAGTCTGAGAACTCTTGGTCCAATGCCTAATTACATAGTTCTTGTCTAATTTATTGCTTTCAGGTGGACCACCTGTTCGACTGTCTATCTGATCCCTGACTACATCTGACTTTATGGATTGTATGGAAGACTAGGATCTAGCCCCTAGCAGTGACATGTTATGTACGTTGGGTTAGGCTCGTTATACTTTTTGGGCTAGGCTCGTTATGTTTAGTGTATGTATGTGATTAGGAGAGCAAGTAGGTCAACTTAGAGCCGAGGACTTTGTGTGGATGCATTGTATATATGAAGGAATATTTGGTATACTTGGGAACTCACTAAGCTTTATGCTTATAGTTGTGGATAAAATGTTTTGCAGGTTGTTTGTGAGTAGAGCTCGACAGGACTGTACACACGCATCGAAGATATTGATTTCCGCTACTTTCATAAATTGACTCTAATAACACTATGGTTTCAGCAAATGAATGTCGCTTATTGCTTTTAAGTTATAGGTTTTTATTTGGTTAATCAAATTTTTAAACGAGAATCTCTTTGTAATTTTTGGGACATTACAAATTAAGAAGCTGGAAGTCATACTCTCAGAATAATCATGGGATTTCAGTCTACCTAATATTTTCATATTTGCCTACTGTTGAGGGATGTTCTATATTCTTAAACTTTTCTGTAACCCTAAAATAGGGACTATGTAATTTTCACTGTAGTAATAAAAGTGCCTACTTTATGTTCTATTATTGTATTGTTCTATGTATGCAAATGACTGTGATCCATGATGTCGTCTCACCTTCCGACGTTTCTGCCGTCGGTTGGATGTGTGACACAAGGTTCAACCCTCTTAGGCTTTGAGTTAGGGTTCTTTTGTTGTTGATAACCCAGTTTTCTTGAAGCTTTGTTTCTTAGGTCCCAAGTTTCTTTTGTTTTGTACCCCAGACTTACCCTTGTGACTAGAACCCCCAGCTGACAAGCGATGCACACTCGATCAGAATTTACCACACTTGTCCATGGTGCAAGTTTCCTCCTCAATGTAGAGGTGCTTCATCAGATCGTCTAAGGAGTAGTCCTCAGATTTGTGTATCATTCTCTTTGAGAAGTATTTTCATGAGAGTGGTAGATTTGTGATAATTGCACTAACCTGGAAGAGTTATGGCAGAGATATGAAAAACGAGTTCAACTTATTGACCATGACTTGGAGTTCGTGCACTTGCTCCATGATAGATTTGTCATCAGTAATTTGGAACTCTAGGGACTTGGATACAATGTACTTATTAGTGTCTTCCTCATGTTCCTTGTAATTCAATTCTAAGGCCTTCCATATCTCTCTCGGATCTTTGATCGGCGTGTAAAGATCATAGAGTCGATCAGACAACGAGTTCTTGATGTGACCCATACACAGTTCCTCAGACTCTCTACACATAGCCCTTTGATTTTTCAGATCATATATGACATTTGGGTCCACAGTATTCACTTCTTTGGGAATTGGATCAGAAGGAATTGGGGGACAAGTTTGGGTCCAACACATAGGCAAGTTTCAGCATATGAAGCATGAACTTGACCTTGTCAGCCCAGCGTGAGAACTTCTGACAATCGAAACGGTCAAGTCGCAAAAAATCTTGGTTCATGAGGCAAAAATTAACAGATAAGATTTTGATGTCCACAAGTCTGAAAATTTATAACACGATAAAAACCTTTAAGATTGTTAAAAGACAGAGTAGATATTCAAACAATCTGATAATTAGTATTATGAACTAATCACGAATTATTTAGAATTGACAAACAAACAAATGGATAGATAATATTTATGATTATATATCCAAAACGCTTTCACAAACAACCAACGATTAATATTGAGTATTAAACGTTGAGATGTCGCAGGATAATAAATTCAATTATTATTATTATTGTTACCAAGTTTCGTCCAGAAATTATAATGATCATTCATGATCAGATCTAATTATAAGAAATAAGTAGAAACAGATTGTCCTGTTATTGGACGAATATAAATACGAGACAATAAAATAAAACGGACATGTTTGTAGTGATCTTGATTGTAAAAACATACACAGATCTGACTCCTATCCTTAAAAGTTTTTACTTTGTTTCTATCGGTTACAAGCAACAAAGTAAAACCCATGTGTTTAATGAAGACTTGTCGGTTTTCCAACAGCCATGTAAAACGATAAACACAAAGTGAATACTCAGAAATCAAGAAGAAATCGCCAAAAGAGAGAAAAGATAGATAGAGAGAGGGAGAGAAAGAGACCCCAACAATCGGAACTGTTAACTAAGTTAAGCCTCTCAAAGGCTGACACGTGGCAGTTTAAATTCGAATCGGATATCGTTATCTGCTCTTATCCGAATTCAAAACTGAAGTCTATCCGATCTTTCTAGAGGATTCTAGAAGGTTCCAAAGTGCCAAGTGCGCCTAAATCACGTCATTTCGCGCACTCGCATCATCATCTAGGCTAGGTGCGTGTGTGGGTTTGGCCCATCTCTTGGTCCACTTAAACCTTTGAAGGCCTATCAAGAGAAATGTCTTATAAACCTACAAAATGTGTCTTCCCCCACCAATATGGGATAAATGAAAATAGTCAACTTGCATTATTCCCTTATAATTTCCAACATGAGGATCATATCGAAACCTGACTTTATGAAAGGATCAAAGTTTTGGTAATTCTTCAATTCAATCCTCGATTTAAAAATGGTAAACCGCACCACTTGACCGGTCCACATCAACTCGCCAGAAGGCCCACGTAGAGGTTAATCGCGGAATAATTGTAATATTTTGGTTGTGACATGCATTATTTAAACCTTAAACCTCTTATGTGAAATTTCAATACTTCCCAACTATTAGACTCTCATCCCATGAGACGATCAAAGGGTTCAATCCTCATTTTAGTTAGGAGTTTAAGTTCATTTATTAATTGATAATTTAGTTGTTCAAAAAATAATTGAGAATTTAGTTGATATTAATATGTAAGGAGGTTGTTTTGAAAATTTTCCAAATATAAATGTTATATAAGATTTTATCAAAATTCAAACCCTAAATCTCAAGGAAGCAAGAATTGGTTTTGAAAGGAAAAGGTCCAAAAATGATTTAACGATAGAGGGATTTAATTTGCAGAAGTAGATATGAAAAAGTAAATAGCAAAGTACAGATTCCTTCCTTGTTTGAATTCCTCTTGTATGCCGTTGTTCGATTTATCATATACAGGTTGAAAAAGAAAAAATATATATATAGTTTTATCGATTTGTTTCAAGAATAGTCGTGAAGATCTCAATTTTCATAAAATTCTACAAGCAAAAAAAGTATTTCGAATCCTACCATGGTTGATTCTGAAATAAGATATGTATTGAGATCTTAGCTAGGATCTTGAGTAGGATCTCTGATCCAATCTCAACCTTTTAGTATGTATACTTAAGTTTTCTAAATCTTTGGCAATTCGCCAATTCCACTTTTCTATTTAAAAATTATATACAGAGAATATAAAGTTTGTCATTTGAAAGAAAAAAAATTGAGACTTACTTTGTATATAATTATGGTAACCGGAAACAATGGTGTGTATAGTGATTTTAGAGTTGATTTCTATGAAATAGTAATATCTTAGTCAAGTCACTTAACGGATATTGTTGATCATTTATGTAGGATAATTCCAACTAGTAGTTAGAATTTAGAGTTCGAAGGCTAAATTCTAACTATTTAGTAAGTAAACATATATAAATAAAATGTGAGGGTTTGCATGGTGCGAATATACAGAAATAAGTAATACAACGGAATTTAGGTTTAAGAATAGAATTGATATCTATGAAAATCAATTAGATTACATAAGCAAATGATTCTCTATTATTCTTCGAGATATATTTCATTCCTTATTTTTACAATTAAAAAATATCTTCCCTTTTTAATTACACGCTAGTTCATATATAGATGTCAGGTCATCCTCTCCAAAAGGTTGTCACCTAATTAAATCCGTTCATAGTCAAGCAATGGCTCCGGAAGACTATACGCTTGCCTACCTTATAGTAATATCGTTCATCGTTATTTATTATTGCTGTGCTTGCCGCACCCGTGACTCCAACGATGCCTCCTCCTTGCCGCCTTCATCTACGCCACCACCCCTAGATGCCGCCGCCATGATCACCATCTACCATCGGACTCCGACAGAGACGAATGAGGAGTCCCTGGAATGCACTATCTGCCTCGAGGTTATCAAAGAAGGGGAGAAAGTGAAGGTATTGCTGAGTTGCTGTCATTGTTATCACTGTGAGTGTATCGACAAGTGGTTGATTGCCAATTCGAGTTGTCCAATGTGCAGAACTTCTGTACCAGTCGACTCGCCCGTTTGACTCATCTTCGTCGGTTGTAATTAATATTAGTTAAATTATTTTGGCTTGTACGTACACCCCAGGATAAGATAATTTGCTAAGCGAAAAAAAAAATCTGAAAATTTTTGCTCATGATTTCATAAACCACATTGTATCTTCTTCTCTAGCAGTCCAGCAACTTAACAAAAAACAAATTAAGTTTCTAGATGTAACGTTCTGGTACTTATGGAGATTCCGCGATAGTAATTAATATAAGGCGTATAATTAACGACAAGAAGCTCAAAGTTGAACTTGAAAGGATATTTGACTTCTTAGTTGTACATTCTTTTTCACTAGATTTTGTAACCATGTCTTTACACTAATGCTAGCTTTTCTTTAATACATCTACAAGTTCAAAAAAATCTTAAATTGAGATTAACATGTTAATATTAGTATTACTTAATCAAGTATTTAATCAAGTATATCATTATTAATTTTACAATCAAGCACACATAATTTTCGAAAAAAAAAACACTTTTTGAGTTATATATTGAGAAATAAATTACTTTCTATATTATACACATATACAATACAAGAAACACAAGCATTAGCAGCGATAGATGTCGCTGCTAAAAGGTAGGTATGTCGCCGCAAAAGCCTTTTGCGGCGACATGTCGATTTAAAAGAGATGACAAGCTTATATCTATATATATAAATGTAACGATAAGTAATATCCTTCTTTACAGAATTATTATTGAACCTTGTCATTATTTATATATATATATATATATATATATATATATAAAGACGGGGATCGATAATAATTCTGTAAAAAAAGAAATTAGTGTTGTACATATTCATTGAATGATGTTTGATTAATTAATAATCCAATGTGCAATATTCATTTTCAGGTGATCTAAAGAAAAAAAATTATATTTTACTATAATGTTTAGTTCCCAATGCAAAGCCAAAATTGGAGATTTGAAAGAGATGACGAACTTAGTTGTTATGTAATAGATGAATTTTTATCATTGAAATATGTCATATTTCGTATTTAATGAATTTATATTCAATGGGCATAGAACCCTTCGAAGTGTTTTTAAATATTAAAATATGTTCAATTGAGTTTTACAGAGTTCAATACATTGTTATAAAAAAATCAATAGATTTGTATGGAATAGAATATGATGATGCGACAATCTATTGAACTCGATGAAATAGGAGTTCAATACATTATAAATGTCCTTAAATCCTTTTAATATTAATTATTTTCAAGGTTCAGAATAAAAATATTTTTTTTACTTTCATTCTTTTAGAATAATACATATCAAGGTTTTAATGCCATGGTATAGTTAATTAATTATCAAAACAACTTTGAAGAATCATTCTTGCACTGCCCAAAGTTTGTCCTTACACTCTGTTCCTGAGTTTCATTTAAAAGAAAGAAAAGAAAAGAAGAGAAATATGGAGAGAAAAGAAAGTAAAGTGTATTTTTCTGTTCCCGAGTTCGAGAGAAAGGAAAGAAAAAAAATTTCTTTATGTTCGTGAGTTGGAAAGAAAAAAAATAAAACTAAAAGTGGACAATTATACCCTTGTAAGAGAAGCAGCGATTTTTTTTCCTGTGATGTTGTACGTGAATATAGGGGGTAATTTGGTAATCATAGGGATTTTTTTTATCAGTGATTCTCTTCTCTCCAAATCTCTCCAATTTGGGAGGAAGATTAGGAGAGAAAAGAATGTTGTGATTTCCTTTCCTTTCTTCCCAAATCACTCCAAAAAATAAATTTGGGAACACTCTTGACTCATTCTTTCTCTTCTTTTCTCTCTGTTTCCCTCGTTAATTTCGACATGGGAACAGGGTGTTAATCTTGATTATCAAGTATTAACTCAGACTTGTTGTTAGTCCATAAACCATATTAAGAATCATATAGCTTCTTAAAGAAGGTGTCGTAAAAAAAAGTACATGACCGCCAAAAGAACTAAATTGGAGGCTGGAGATTAGGGGTGACCGCCAAAAGAACTAAATTGGAGGCTGGAGATTAGGGGTGGCAATCTTAATCTGAACCTGCAAATCCAACTCGAACCCAACCCAATAAATAGCAGGTTTGGTTGAGATTTTGAACCCACTTAATTAAATGGGTCAACCTATCTAACCCGTTTAATTAAATAGATTGTGTTATGGTTAAAATTTCTAACCCGTTTACAACCCACCAACTCATTTAAAGTTTTTAAATATTTTTTAATTTAAATTTATTAATTATTATTATTTAATTGATCATTATATTTTGATTATTTTTTATTTATCAAAAGTCATGGATCAGTAACTGGTACTGGAATTCAAGTTGGTAAAAATGATAGTTGAGTTGTGTAGATTTCAAAAATTAAACATTTATAATGTTTTATGGTTGTAAGCACTTATTTGTGTTTGTTTTATTGGCCTATAAGGTTCTTGTATAATTTTCAAACTTTAACAATTATTATGGCTTTTTAAATTCTATATAATTTTATTTGATGGATTATTTGATTTTTAAGGGTTTTTTTGTAAAAATTGTAACGGATCAACCCGAATTTAGTAAATAGGTTGGATTGGAAATATAATAAACAAGTCAACCCGATTTCAAGCCATTTACTAAAAATGTTGGGTTGGGTTGGAAATTCTCAACCCGTTTATTTAAACATGTTGGATTAGGTAGATATTTTCAACCCAATTAATTAAACATGTCAACCTATTTATGACTCAACCCAACCCATTGTCATCCCTGCTAGAGATCAAGTTATATTGTATAAAAGATTTATGACCTACAAAATTGAATTTCCGATTAATTAATGTTGAAAGCAAACCGAGGATCTTTGGAGTTGGAACGATTAAAGTGGATATTTAGTTAGACGTGATTAATGAGCTTATGACGAACAAGAAACTCGAAAGTATTCTATCTTCTGCTATCATATGTAAATACGTTAACATTTACATAATTAAGATATAAATTTTCTAATATGTTATTCTATTTTCAAGATGTTACATTCGTTGTTTATAGTAACAGTGGATGATGTATGTGTTTTCATAAACCCGCGTAGAACTACGTCCATGGAATGTGGATTGGATAAGGATTTAGAAACAAACATGTCGTAAATGAGTTCGTTGATATGACATCACTATTTTCAAGAAAATAATAATTTTTTCAAGGGCATTTTGTTATAGAACATGTATTGTTAATACATTAGGAATTGAATCTAAAAATAAGATAGTGAGAGATAATGATATGTTTTTTTGGAACATCCAGAGATAATGACATCTTTTGATTTGATGAAGCATGTTTTGATTTGATGAAGCATGACTAAAATAAAAAGACTATTGAAGGATTTCTTTTTTTTTTTAATAAACATTAAAATTTAAATCTAAAATATTTGTCTTTAGCGAAATAATGATTAATTCATTAAAATGCATACTTTAATACTTTGATTTTTTCAACCAAACATAGTTTTTAATAAAATTTACATTTATATTTCATTATTTTCGTTCAAAATTCATGAACCAAACACGCTTTTAGAATGAAAGTGCAAAATACTGTTTAAAAAATACATTCACAATTTTTTCTAAAGTTTTCAGATATAAATTATTTATGATACGTAATATGTAATGAAAATCTAATATTGTATGTGTATCTTAAATGACAATAAATATAATGTAATTTCCACAAGGAAGAAATTTACTACATATGTGACATTATAAATGTGTTATCAAATGACCTTTGAATATTTAACTCTTTTTTTTAATAGAAATTACATGTAGCTAGAAGCTTGCAAACTTACAAGGAAATTTGGAAATATAACCGCACCAATTACAATACCAACTCCTGAATTTATATTTAACTAAAACAAGATTCTAATTACTTGATAAAAAATGTTTTTTCTTTAATCTGAAAAGTTTAATATAATTGTCTGAAAAAATTTAATATAATTGTCTGACAACTGTGGCTTTCGGTATGGTGGACTCAAATCTTATATTAAAGATCAATAACAAACGCAATCTATTTTAATAAATAAAGATTTTTTTGACACATGTCACATCCTCATTCAATTTGTCAAATGTCATTTTGTTATTACTTTAATTTTATATTTTTTTTTCACATGTCATTTTATTGGTTTTCTTATTTTATTAAATTGCACATAATACATTAATTTAATAATTACAATAAATTTAGAAATAAATTGATATCAAATTTATTAATGGATTTACCTTCTAATTTCAAATTTTTCAAATTAAAGTTTTTTTTTGTTTATTTATTTAAATTATTTGTTTAAATTTATTTAAAAAAACATTTCAATTTTAATAATTCATTATTTTTCTTATTTTCTTATAAACTCAAAGTTTTTAGTTTATATTTAACTTTTTTTTTTTTAACTAATTAATAATATAATACATGGGTGACTACTTTATCACTATCTGTGATTAATTAGTATTATAAAAAGCATTTCAAGAAGAGCATAAATCAGTAATTTCAAACATGGCTACTAAGCATGCACTCTTCATATGCATCATGATTACCTTCATCTTCTCTTCACCATCGCAAACCACCACATCCGGCACCATAAACCCAAACCCCACACTATGAATCCTGCAATCACTATGTTGCCCTCCACAACCCCACCATATATACAAACCGGTTCCTGGATGACTGTACAAGCAGCCATAGATGAAGCGTACGTGTGGCTCTGAAACGAGCCCAAGGGATCGAGTCAAAGTACCCAAATGTTCCAGGAAAAAGCTTGTGGGGTAGCTGGCGTTGAGTACTTTGATGGGATCGTTGCCACGATAACGGCTCATGTCATAACGCCTAATAACGTGCAGGGCCTCCCCGTTGCTCATACCATACAGTCTAAAAGAATTTAGGTTGCAACGTTTAAGGACTTCGCAGATCGTTCCGTGTCAAAGAATTGTGGTAAGAACAATGAACAAGGAGTAGTTTTCTTCAACGCCTATTTATGTAATTTTATCCTTAAATAGTTTGTAAAAACAAAATTAATTTAGTAATATAGATTTTTGTGGATTGCAGAAATCTGGGGCGGTGGATTTATCGCCCGAGACATGACGTTCCGGAATACGGCTGGGCCAAAAGGCGGGCAAGCGGTGTCCCTCCTCTCCAGCAGCGACCAATCAGCCTTCTACCGGTGCAGCATCGAGGGATACCAAGACACACTTTTTACTTTTTTCGGTAAACAATTCTACAAAGAATGCCACGTCTTCGGAACAGTAGATTTCATCTTCGGCGATGCTCTAGCCGTCTTCCAAGATTGTGAAATCTTCCTGAGAAAACCACGCCCCGGCACACGGGCGGAAATACCATAACGAATCCACCGGATATTCATTACAAGGGTGGAAGATAAAAGCTGCAGCCGATCTTAAACAACCAATGAGCAGTCAGTGAGTTTAGAGCCTTTTTAGGAAGACCATGGGTTTCCGTATGGTTGGCTGTTTATATGGAGTGTTTTTTAGAGGATTTGGTGGATCCGAAAGGGTGGGTTGATAGTTGGGGTTTTAATCGGACCAGTTATTGTTATTGTGGTGATTGTGGTGAGTACAAGAATTATGGACCGGGTTCGTCTACTGGTGAATGAGTCAAATGGCGTGGTCACCATGCAATAAAAGATGTAAAGATCGCTCAGCATTACACGCTTGCTAAATTCTTGTCAGGTAACCTTTGGCTTAATGGAACCGGTGTCCCCTTTACGCCAGGGTTGGAGAGTTTTCAAACAAACAAATAACAGAAACTGATGAATTTCTTAATAGAAATGGATTGCAATTTTATATTATATTTACAAGAAAAAATAAATATTTTGATTGGTGAAATTTGTGTCATGGGGTATCTGGTTTTGAATCTTGTATGGAATCTTGAGCACTTTTTATAAGTAAATCGTAGTTGATGGAAGCCAACTGGGACAAATTCTGATAATAAAAAAAAAGATATTACAAATATGTATTATTGTAAGTATGAATTTGGAATTTGGAATTAGGTATATGAGATGAAACTGACCTTATATGAGAAATTACTGAAAGAATAATTGACATTAGGATGTGGACCACCAAAGTCGGCCATGTGACTGTATCCCTCGCTCTGCTGTCAAGTAAAAACACAACACAGAGTAAGAGTAGAGAATGAGATTATGAGACAGAGGAGGTTGTAGTTATTTACCTCTTCATCGACCATGTTGCTGAGAGAACTATGACCACAAGATGTGTCAGCTTCAGACATATCATCGAAATCACTACCACCATCCAGATGTTGGTCGTCTGGATTCCAGATATATCGACTCATAAAATAGCTCGTATCAAGAGCTTCAGCTGATGGTATAAATGTTGCCTTCATGAAAATACAAACACAAACTATTTACTTTACTTTTCAGATGGATGTTTGCCAAATATCTCTCGACTATACTTTATATAATTGAATTGAATGAGAAAATTGATGAAATAAATAACCTTCTGCCTTGCAAGTGTGTCCCAGTTGATATTCTGAAAGAAAGGGTGTCTCTTCACCTGTTATACAACAGTTAGTAAGTAATTGTAATTCATCAAAATTTATCATCATCTTATGTAGAGATATAATCTTTTACCTCTCCAGCCCCGGTTGCACCTAAACGTTGAATCGGATTATCAATAAGCAAGCTGACAACACACCAAACAAAATAATAATAATAATAATAAATTAAAGAACTGTGTTACAGGGAAAGGCGCTAGAACCATAAGTCAATTTTAATTTTATGATCCGTTAATAAAAATGTCTCACTTGTTTATCAGATCATATGCTTCCAAGCTCATGTCCTCGGGTACCTCAGGCCATGGTATGTCTCTATTCATAATGTTGGCAAAAATTTGCTGCACAAATATTTACACAACAACTTCAAACTTCAAACGTCAAAATCCAAATAATAATAAAAAAAATATATTGGACAGAACATACATACATACATACCTGTGGAGATCCTGCATTAAAGGGTGGAATCCCTACAAGTAGCTCAAACAGGATAACACCAACAGACCACCAATCAGCTGTTGCGGCTGCGATGCGCGAAGTAGGGATATTTATATATATTAAATATATATAATTTAAAATTTATAATTATGGTAGAAAGTGAAAAATCGAACCATGTCCCATGCCGAGAAGTATTTCGGGTGCGAGATAGTCAGGAGTGCCAACAACAGAGAGCTTTTGGCGTTCTTCTCTGTTGCTGTTGACCGGTGATGGTGATGGTGATGGTGATGGCGATTCTGTCTTGACTTCATTATTATTATTATTATTATTGTCTTGAAAGATAGCAGTCCTGATGGTTGATGATCCGGTCCCTGATATTTCCTCCGTGTTGTTTATCAGACCAACCTTCGATAGCCCAAAATCTGTCAGCTGTAAAATTACGAATTAGAATTGTAAGATGAGAATGAGACCAACACGATTCATTCATTCCTTCATTTATTCATACATACATATACATATCTCTTCTAACATACACAATCTAATCATTTAATCATAAACCAAAGAAAACATTGACCTTGATGTGGCCATCTGGACCAATCAGCAAGTTGTCAGGCTTCAAATCTCTATGAATCACATTCAAAGAATGCAAATACTCCAACGCAAGAACCTGAAACAAATCATCACTCACAAACCACTCCTACTCCTAGAATAGAAAGAAATAAACGCAAAGAAACAACTCACAAGTTCTGCAATATATACACGTGCCATGCCTTCTTCTAAGCAACCAAGATTTCTCAGCAAAGAGAAAAGATCTCCTCCGTTTAAATACTCCATCACCAGATATAGATTTTCTCTACATGTGAAAGAGTAGAAAAACCGTACCTGTCCACGTCAAATGCTAAACAACTTACCAAACTTCCACTTTACAATTATATCTTCAACATTCTCAGTTGTCAGTTCTCAGTTCTCACCACAAAAGGATTGCGAGCTGATATCAAGATATCACGTTCTGCCAAAATGCTTTGAACTGCATTTTTACGAATCATATCAGCCTTCTTTAAAACCTGCAACACTTTAATAAATAAGTTATTTCAGATCTCAAGTATTGCATATTTGCATTTTCGTTTTTTAAGATCAAATATCTGCCCAGACATGTATGAAATAACTTTATAAACGCCTTACCTTTATTGCAAAAACATCGCCTGTTGCCCTCTTCCTGGCCAAGAAAACCCGTCCAAATGCACCTCTGCTAATTGGTTTTATTATTTCAAAATCTTCAATTGATGTTCGATCCTTGGAGTATGCACTTGTAGCAGGGCTAGCACGTACATTACGCCCCATCTCCTCTCCTGATAGACTATCTTCATACGACATGTGACTCTCTGTTTTCTCGTCCTCTATCTGCCCACATAGAAGTACATACTTCTCCCTGTCATCAAATTCAACAAGTATTATATATATATATATATATATATATATATATATATAATAACAGACATACACATATAATATCAACTAGGTAGGTTAGGTTACGTGCATAGATCCACTCACTGTAATAGTTTCTCAATTCGTCTCCCAAATGTCTCAACAATAAGGGCATCCACCTTTCGATCCTGGATAGCATACTTGAGGTCTTTTAAACGATCAAGCATGGAATCCAATGCACTGTAATCGTTTGTGTTTATGTGGGCCAGAGATCGAGCGATTTCCAGTAGCTTGTGTATCTGTCATTCGATTGGGAATTGGGATGTTTTAGCACCTTAATAGAAAAAGAAAATTGATATTACCCTTTAGCTTTCTTTAATTTAACACATAATATAGATCGCGATACCTGCTGCCAGTCTTCATACTCAGATATGGTTTTCCTTCCACTCAGGAATACATCGATCTGGTTCGCTCTTGGTGTGAGTAGAGGTGATCTAGGAGTCATGCATCCAGCCGATAAGGCTTTTGGACCCACAATAGGTATCATAGTGCCACGTGTGCTGCAATTCGTGTCAGGTAAACTGTGGAAATCTTCTGTGTCTGTTTCCTGGATGCTATCTAGGTCTTCAGAGAATTGACAGGACTTGTCCAGATCTTCAGATATACTTGATAGAGATGTTCTTGCACTTTCTTGACTTCCAATTGCCATGTCAGCACCTTTTGGTGTCCATTCATCAATGATCCTTTCAAGAGTTTCTGCAACTCTTTCGAGTCTTTCATTCACACTCACGCCTTTTAAATCACATCTATCAGCAATAGTACATATTCTAGAGTGCTGCTCTACGTGTACAGTTGGTATTTCAACTTCACATATACGGCATATTAATGAGCTCTCATAATGATGTTGCTCTTCTGAAAATCCAAATGTAACTCTCCTTACTTTTGAGGTTATCTCAAAATTCTCAGAAGGGCACACCGGGGGGCTATGCTCATGCTCATCTTTAAGTTCCAAATGGTCGGAGGAATCGGATAACTCCTTTGATGGGATGTCAAGGTCATTATGGTCTTTTACAACCTTATCTGCAGGAGATGGAAGCTTCTTCCAAGATGAAATCCTTTTACCAGTAGATGAAGTAGCACCTTTTGTTTGATCTAGCTCCTGATCCCCTTCATGTGAGCTGCCAGCTTGAGACTCAGTAGCTTGATCTTTTACTAATGAGTTGTTAAAGTTGTATGTAGACTCTGTATAGGCACCAATATCACTTAGCTGATGAAGCCCCAAAATGTGGTGGCTATCTTCATATCCACACTCTTTATGGAATTGCACAAGTCGAGTGCATCGGGTGAGTATGAACAAGAGACGGGTATGGACTTGTTTGAGTATACCCATGGGTAACTCCTGACGACGATCATCAAGACTCTGAACAATGCTTTCACACTTCAACCAGAATTCATTGGATGTCATTTTTGCACACTTGCTAGCTATAATTAACAAGTCCTCCAACATCTCTTTCCATTCTGGATGAGATTCTGGAGTTTCTTCAAGTATTCCAACCAAATCTCCAGCAAAGATGCCCAGGTCAGCATTCACTTCTTCCTTCAACTTTTCAAACTTTCCCCTCAGCATTACCATGATCTCCTGAAGTTGAATAAATGAAGAGAGTTATAAGGATGGAGTTGAAAGAGCATGAGATTAACTATTCATTATTGAAACAAGCAGCTACCTCCACATGTCCATATGCACGAGGTTTCCACAGTGGCAGAGGTCTGACTCCTTCGGAATTGAGTTCATGAGAGAAGCTTTTTATATCAGGAACTTTCTTTTTGCGACCACTTGTGACACGCATTATGGCCTGGAACCTTGGAGACTGCATTTCCTTGGCAAACGCTGTGTTAGAGCCCTAGAATCAGCACTTCAGAATCAGTATCAACCACCAATTCCTTTAACTAAGTATAAACCTAGAAAAATTAAGAATTTATACAAGCAAAACAAACTTCAGGATTTAAATTTATTTTCCTGTCCACTAACACGATATTACCTCCATTCCAGCATTAGATTGTAGTTGAACTTGTAAGGATTTAGATTGGCCCCAGGACACCTTCTTGCCTAGAGAAAAAAATGCAATACATAATTAATCATGAGTTGCATCTAATTTAAGCAAGTTGAAATGTACTTTAAGCCCAAACAAAAATCTAATAAGCATATAAGATCGATCGTAAGTATATGTTATCTCGGAAGATTGATCATGTAACCTGGATCAGCTTTTGCAGGCTGTTTCGCTGTGTCCAGTTTGCCTCCCGGAGGATTTGCGATCTTATCTACATCATAGGCATCCGATTTTGAGGCTGTGCCAGCAGTAGAATCAACCACCCTACGATGCAAAGAAGAGGAGCGACTGCGAATACGATTTAGGCCAAGAGATGAAGCATCGAGTATATCAGCTTCGTCTGTTCGGCGATCACAATCTTTGTAAGATTTGATGCCGTCGTCGCATCCACCTCCAACGTTGTTATCTCTCATTTCATCCATGGTGTGGATCCGACGAATCGAGATTGGAGGTATTTTCGTCAATCTGAGGAGTGGACCTGATCTTTGATGATTAGGATGTAAGTTTCCATCAGCATCATCAACAACGGGATTATTCGAGGTTCGTTCAAATTCTGATGAAGGTTGTGGATGTGACATCAGACGGAGAGAATCCTGTTATTCACCCCTTTATCAATGTGAGTGTAGATTTTAGCATAAAGAGAGAGAGAATAATTTGTCGAAAAACATGATGATGATGATGATGATTTCTAGGTTTTATTGGATCAAATTTCGTTCGATTTGGGGGAAAGGTTTTAGAAGATACAAACTAACAAAAGGGGGAGATTTCCGCGGGAAGCATAGCATAGAATGAATTTTGTATAATAAAATAAAAATAGGGGTTTATTCACATGTTTTGAAAATTATATAATGCCTTATTCAAATTATGGATTATACTTTAGAGTTTGACATTTTTCCAAGAAAACCAGATGACTTGTCGTTCAAAATTTTCCAGATAGTTAGATAAAATATTAAACTAATCTTTTTGAAAGCTTAAGCCTAAGACCAACTTTTTTTATTTATAGTGGTAGATAAAGTACGCAACAAATTAGAACACACATAAAAATAATAAAGTTATTCAAATACAAATAATAAATTACAATTCAAAAACCCAGTCATTATTAACTGTCACAACCTACAAAATTGAGAATTGAGAAACTGCAAAGAAATGACAGTACAAATGACTTGATGAAATAACTACAAGCAACAAAGACAAACAGATAAATTGTTGGTGTGTTAAGGTTGTTTTGTAGTGTGCTTGCTGGGCCATCTTTCAATAGATTGAAAATCTCTTAAACAAATACAAATGACAAATTACAAAATACACAGATCACGTTTTCATATTCAATCCAAATTTCCAAAAGTCGGATATAATTCCTAATTTTATAACACAGTTACCAAATTCCAAATGATCAAATAAGTGAAAATTATACAATCGAATTTCATAACTTTTACCCGATTGAAACTGGGAGGTGAAAATTTTGAAGGTGATTAACCATGGCTTCAAAACATGTTGGAAGGTCGGTGTTAGAGTTGGGGTTGGTCGTTAGAATGTTAGACAACCCGAACCTGATCAACCATCCGGTGCTTCTTCAATATACCCTTTTTTTCAAAAAATATACCCTCCTTTTAGGCTCGCTCCCGCCCTCTTTTTCTATTTTCATTTTCGAGTTTCGAGTTTGGATGCACGGAAATGCAAATCAACGGTGTTTCATGATTCATGATTCATGAGATCGATGATCACTCCCGCCTCAGTCAGCGGCCAGCACCTCTCACGTACATATAACATATTTTTGGGCCCCTGGAAGATTTTTATATAATTTTCGTAAAATGGAGCTACAATACATCATTACAATTAGTACTGCTCTACTCTACATAAGACAGAAATTTTCATCCCTTTGGAGATATGACCCTAGGCACAGTTTGATGTACTATATGTTGGATTAGGTGTCTAAGTCAATAACTAAATTAGTATAATCTTGAATTATTAGCAAAGTCCTTTTACGTTGCCTTCAAACCTATAAAACTCATCACTATTCAAATTTTATTAAGAAAAAGAAAATCATGTAGTTTAGTGCCCGCAAAACTGAAACCGAAAACCGATAAAACCAAAATTGAACACAAACCGTCGGTTTTGGGTTTAGATTTTTAAAACCGAAAAATCCGATTTGGGTTTGATTTGCACATTAAAACCCAACCCATTGGTTTTAAAATCGAACAGACACCGACCAAACTCACGGTTTTAACCCAAAACCTATCAGCTAGTTTTAATTTTTAATCTTTCTTAGTTTCTTTAAATTAGTTGGCTTTTCTTTTTCTTTGTTTCCTTAAACTAGTTGATTGAATCTAGTGTTTTTGTATGGTATTAAATTTGGCTGAATTTGTTTTAGTATTATTTAGAATTGTTGAAAAACTGGTTGAAACCCAAAACCCACATGTTTAAACCCGAAACCCATAAACTCATGGTTTGAACCGAAAAAATGACCCACGAAACTGAAAACCGAACCCATCCAAAAATCGAACTTATCGGTTTACGTTCAGATTTACCCGAAAAGTCACTTTTACTTTTAGTTTTACCCGCTATGACATGAAGTTTAGACAAAATGTTGGAGTGCTCTTCAAGCAAATAAAAGAATTTAAAATAAAGTTGATCAGGTCAATTGAAGTGTAGTGCACGTGATATACCAGGTCATAAGCTTTTTCCGAATTTTTAGTAGTCTTCCATTTATTTAGCTCTTTCATTTATTCTGTTGTATTTCATCTTGTATTTAAAGCCACTTTGGCAATTGATTAAGGCATCGAATTAAGGGAGAAATACCATGTGATAATCTCTCTATCATTGTAGTATCGGAGCGAATTTCGATCACAAACACAGAGAAGCGAAACCATGAATGACGATAAAGTGAAGATGCAGATCTTCGCCAGTCATTATGAGCATTGGAGCGAGATGATGGAGAATTTGTTGCAAGCAAAGCAGGTATGGAACCTGATCGATCCAGGAATTAGAGAACTTACTGTTGGTGTTGCCCAAAGTGACGCAGAGAAGGTTGGAAGAGTTGTGAATGAAAGATGTGCAGGTCAAACACTATCTATACCAGACAATCGATATGGTTACTTTTGAGCAAATCCTGGATAGACAGACCTCCAAGGCAGTGTGGGATTCCATGCAAAACAGATTTGCAGGGAATGATCGAGTGAAGAAGTCCATGTTGCAGAAACTTTGAAGGGATTTCAAAGTTCTCGAGATGAAGGCAGAAGAGACTATCCCTGAATACTTCGGTAGAGTTCTCACAATCTCAAATCAAATGAGAAGCAATGGAGAAGTGATGGCAGACGTCAAGATCGTGGAGAAGATCCTCATAACTCTAACCGAGAAGTACATGTATGTTGTGGTGTCAATTAAAGAATCAAAGAACACTGAAGAAAAATCCATCGAAGAACTACAAAGTACCCTTGTGACGTCAACGGTGGTGTGGTGTTAGGATTAGGAGACAACAAAAGCATTGTGAAAGTGCATCAAACTATCAGTTTTGGAGCCATCACATTGGAGGAAGGAGGCGGTGGTTTCGTCATTGGTCGGAGGCAGCAACAAGGGGGAAGGATGCAGTAGTGGGGACGACATCGATAGTTGTAGCGGCAGTGGTAGTTGGCGATGATGGTGTTAGGCTGGAGGGACTGGTAACACCTTTAACATAGTATTTTTTTGAAGCCACATAGGATTTTTTGAAGCCATGTAGGCTAAAGGAAACGGTAGCATCCAAGTTGTAAAAAGGTAAGGAGTAAGGGTGTGTTATTTTAATAAGGTTTATTTTATAAATAAAAAAATGATACATCCAATAGGAATTCAGCTATCCACTTTATCTCTCCTCTTTCCTTTCGCTAGCTCCTTAGTGAGTTCTTCCTAGCACGACTGGTAGCACTTCATGGAGGTGGTGTAGCGACTCTTTAGCGAGGATGATGGCAAGTGTTTAGCGAATCACTCCTCCAAACCTTAGGGATTATGTTTGAGCTCTTGGATATTGGTGAGAGAAGAGAAAGAACCATCATATTTGATTTTTTTTTGTCTAACGTTAGAGTTTTGATGCCAAGGGATTTTTCTATAATTTACCATCATGCCTTGTTTATTTTTGTCCATTGATAAAAAATAATAATAATAATAATAAATTAAAAAAAAAATTAACTAATCAAATGCTTAGATTAATTTTTATTGGTTTCTAATGTTCGTTTTTTAATATTTTTTCAATATTTCTAAGGGTAAAGTATTTTGCACCTTTGCCAAGGTTATGCATTTTGGGTCCTACGTTCTTTGGCTTTTGATGATATGCTTTAAAAAAATAAATAAATAAATAAATAAAAAATAAAATAAAAAAACATAGACAAACTCTTTTTGTCCAACAACCTTGTTTCTTGTTTCAACTTTCGTCCCAATTTCATAGCATTTAACTTTCACTTTTTCTTAGTTTCTAAGATTAAAGCATGTTCATTAAGCTATTTTATATTTATCCAAGTTGATACACACCAACATGTTTACATGTTAGCAACTAAAGTGCCATTATTGACATTTGCTTCTCTAGTTTTAGAACATGTTACCACGCACATTAATTATTTTCTCTTTTATGCATGTAAAAGTTAAAACCTTATGTCGCAAGAGCATATATGGGACTTCTACAAGCGACAAAACCTATTCAACAATGTTCTTAATTTCGCTTAAAATACATTGGCTTTAGGGTGTTGTCAACTTTTCAGGTACCTTTTCTTGAATAGATGCAGTCTGCCCCTATTATAAGGACACGATTATTAGGCCCCCATACCACTATACACCAACATTTTGTCAATCAATTATCAGCAACTTCACAAAAATAATAATAATATTATTATTATGAACAAAACAAGTGGTCCAGTAGAAGTGGGGAGTGATGAACTACCAAAGCACATGGATGATTAGATAAATACATACAAAGAGATCGATGTTTAAAGAGTCTAGAATAGACATGACTTAATTGGAAGTACTTTGATGTGCTTTTTTTTATGAATTTATTTAAACTGGCAACACCTACTAGACCAACAACCTTTTTTCCTTAGCTTAACGAGGGCCGAAATGGGTTGGTGGGGTTTCTACACAACTTCATCCCAACACTAGATTATAGAATTCACCATCACTCAATCACCCTCTTTATGTAATCGATCATATGCATAAATTGGATTCGTCGAGTTCTATATGGTACCCAACTTAGACGCTTAAATGGCCCCATATTTGACACGTCATTTTAATTTCATAGTTTATTTTAGGTAAATTAAGTAATCTGACTACAATGTGTATTTAAAAAAATAACAAAAAAAATATTTTTAACAAAAGTAACCATTTGGTCCGGAATGGTCATTCCGGACCAATAAAAACATTTTTTCTGACAAAAAATACATTTTGGATTGATTCTGGACCAACATTCCGGATTCCGAACCGACATTTCGGATTCTGAATTGAAATTTCGAATTTCGGAAAAAAAAAAAACTTTAGAATTTCAAGAACAAGTCCGAAATTCGATGAACAATTCTGGAAATTCAAGAAAAAAATCATTTTTTTACTTAAAACTAACAAAAAGTTAAATAAATATACTAATGTGAACTATATACGATATTAGTGCATAAAATTAAACATTTTATTAAAAAAACGGTTACATTAAACACTTTGAAATGTAGCATTCGAAATCCCAAAAAAAATAAAAACATTTCTTTGAAAAACAATTAAAAAAAAACTTCGAAATATGAACAATACTCTAGAACGAATGCATTTTGTAGAAAGTAGTTATTTTTGAAAAAC